TCCACATGACACATGTTGGTGGGATACCCGTTCTTCCTTTCGGCCATCCTTGGTCGTTTATCTTTCGCTTGGGCCGCAGCAAGTGACCATGCAAAATCAATTAATGCCAGCGAAGCACTCAAATTGCATTGCACCAACCACAAGGCGTTTTCCCAGGCTTTCCTTCTCCGCAACCTCTCCCATTTTCCACGGCTTCACTTAATGCGCATTCTTGTTTGCACATTAAAAAGCAATCCGAGACTCAAGCCGAAACGAAATATGCATACCTTGGCTTGGGATAATGTATATATATATGGTACAGACACTCTATATACATGTATACGCACTCGTATCATGTGGCAGGCAAACAATGCGAAATAATTAAAATTCTTTTGGTCCGAAAAGCCCAAGAGAGCGTTATCCTGGCAGCCATTTCGGGGGATTCACCACCGCATGGAGGAGTAATAATAACATTACTTTCATCTCATTGTGTTGCTCAGGTAAATTTGTTCATCCGGCATAAGATTGATTGAGGCTCGAGATTTAAAGGTAATGGGCAAGGTAGACTTTTAATTAAATCTTATTGACTTTTCAGTAAATATGTGATTAAATATGAAAAGTGGATGTGAGAAATTGTAAACGCTGGTCACACCACTTTCAAATTTAATTTATGTCGAATATTTAATTAAATAGTTCACATAATCATACTTAATTATCTACTAGCAGGGCTTAAACTTTTTTTTTTAACTTTCACTACTTCTCCTACTTGTTAATTTGTTGAAAATAATCCTTTTCCGCTGATATCCTGTTTTTGATGTGACTGTACTTGCATATGTACTGATGGCTTTCTATGTCATCTCAACTTTTTTCCACAGTTTCCAATTTTTTTTTCCCACAACTAGCCAGGGACTGTACCTTTTTTTCTATCAGACATCTGGAACTGTACTTTTTTTTTGCTGGCAGGCATAAAGGTAAACCCATCAGCCTCTGTTGACTTGGCCAAGCCTAACACAACCTGACAGCTCTCCTGGCCAATCCCCGATGCAAATTCTCACACCATCAGCCTTAGCTGTCAAAGCCATTTTGGTGTGGCATGGCCTACTTGGTACAGTCACCGCAGTGCCAAATGGCAAATGGTAAAAGGCAAATGGTGGCGCCATGTATGCAACACCTTTTGTTTGGCGATCGTGTGCTAATACGCTGTGAAAAAGTGCACCTCCTCTGACGACTCTACTCTTTCACCTGACACTTGGCTTTCTTCAATTTTTTTCCCCCGCATTTTGTTTGGCCAGGTCCCTTTCCTTTCAGCCTTCTTTTTGGGCTTCAGCCGCTTTTCTGCGGGCGTTAACCGAGGCTGTTTTGTTGTTGACTTTGTGCTCCAGTTGCGGGTCGCGAAAAAAAAAAAACGGCCGAAGGGGGTGAGTGACTTAGTGGGCGGTTTAGTGGCGGCGAGTGCATATTTGCCTTTGTGCAACTATCATTAAACAAGCGAAGCCACCAGCAGAAAACTGCAGAGAAAACTACACACCAGGACCATCATACAAGCAAGGAGCTCACCTCAATCCACCACACGAAACACATTAAAAGCGAGGCCAAAAGTCAAATACCCACACACACTCTCTATTTCTCTTTTTCTCTCGCATAAACAAAGCAACAAAGGAGCTGGCGATGGTGTGTGTTACTCCTTTTTCTTGACTACACACAGAAAAATATTTCAATGCTCTCAGATATGTTAATATTTAATAACATTTCATTAGCACTACCACACTAACTGTATAGTGTGACCATGAATAGCGAAAAAAAGACAAAACTACGTAAATCAAACTTTATAGACATCTATATAGCCTTTTAATTTAACATTAAAGAAATATCTGAAAGGTTTCGCATCTGTTTATATAATGGTTACAAGGTTTTATAAAATATGTGACACAATATTTTGTATAACTACTTTTAGACCATATTTTTCCTTAGTGTAATGCTGCCTTTTGACTTTTCGCCTGCAGTTTTGTAGCCTTTTTAAGCTTCCAACTGCCGCAGCTTCATCTGCAGCTTCTTTTTTACAACAGGAGCAGCAGGAGAAGCAGCAGTTGCTTCCTTGGCTTAATGTGTTCTGCTGCGGCTTCCCCGGCATCCTAACATCCCAGCATTCAAGCATCCCAACAACCCGGCATTCCGGAGTCCTAGCCATGGCTTTTAGCCCTTTCAGTCCTGCATTTGACATGGCATTTTGCATAGAGCGGCGATCCACAGGAACTAACAACACTCGCAGGGCAAACAACCACAAAGGATGCCAAAGGATGGCAAAGCAGCAGCGAAGTGTCAGGCTGTTTGCCCAAAAAATGCCTCAAGGACTATTAAACCGATGCCTGGCATTGTCATCTCTCTATGCTCTGGTCTCTTATTTCCCTGTGTTTATTTTTTTTCTTCCTTTTTTTCTATCTCCATCCAGCTGCTTGTGGCTTAAGCAATTTAGGGATTTCTGTTGGGCATCTGAGTGATTTCTGATGGGTGTTGTGTGGACAGGTCGTGTTTGCTGAGTGAAAATAGATCAGTTTATGATGGAGAAAGCCTTGCGGATGTTATTCCGGTTTAGGTAAATTGCTCGGAATGCAAAAGGAAAGGCAACAAATGGCTCAAAGTGTTTAGCCTTTGGGCTAACACGACAAAAAAGGTGGGAAGTATAGGCAACAAAATATAAAAAGTGACCAGAATGTGGCCTTAAATTTAATTCGTTTGATAGTTGGGTGTATTTTTTCCGTTAAATTAACAAACAACTTATTAAAATATTAAATATACATGAAATAAGAAACCCCTGATAGAAATTGAGTGTTTTACTGTTTGTTGTTTCAAAGTTTAGCTACTGTGACCTAACTAGTTTCAGCACTTTATTTGTTGACAAGCGCCTTCGACCCCAAAGGCCATCGCTAGGGGCTCTTGGCTCTGTTAAATCTAAAGGGAAACAACGCTTCAATTTGTCTCAAGTTGTCAAGTCGCGAGTTGTTGGTGTTTCAACACACTGCCATTTTTCTCGCCCAGCAAAAGCAACTTTCATCAGCCAACTAGTGCTGACTTTGACACCGTTTTCCACTTTTCGTTAGCATGTGAGCGAGATGTTGCCAAGGAGACCAAGGCAAAGAAGGCTCACGGAAGGAGCAGAAGCAGGAGCAGGAGTATCCATCCCACCCACGCCTACGTTGACATGGCACTTATTTTCTTATTATTAAGTATACGCTTAGTGGGCCGGCGAAGGAGATGGCGATGTGCTGCAGCGGAAGTGCGCCAAGTAATGATTACTTTGTGTCTGCCACTGACAAATGCCGTCAGTCAAAGTCAGTCAGAGTCGAGGAGCATAAACGTAGGGACGCAGGACACTGTCAGCAGCAAAAGCAGCAGGAGCAACAGAAGGAGCAGAAGCAGGGGCAGAATCGGGGTGCTGACGACAACTCAATGCGGAAGGAAGTTTAAGCACAAAAGGTGCACAGTCAATGTAAAGGAGTCGCCGGTCGTCTGCTCCTCTTCCTTGTGCATTCATGTGCATTGGCTCTCGATGGGATCACAGAGGTGGAGTAGTATGTTGACAGTCTATTTCGTCGTCCCGAAAGTGAGCTGTAAAATGGAAGATAACTGTCAGATTTGAATGACTAAAATAGTTTTACTTTAAGTGTGTTTTATTTTTATATTGAAAACGAAAAGTACACCTAAAATAACCCACCCAACTTGACTAGTTTTTTATGGTCAATAAAACCCCTTGAGCAGATTACGAGAAATCACTCCATTCTGGCCGATTGATAGCCAGTCCCACGCAAAATTCAATTTCCTTTCCACTTAGCCATGATTACCATGGCCCGAACAGTGCACACCACCGGCTTCCGTCGCTGGCCGTCAAATCCGTCCAAACAACACATCACAACCCCTCCGACAATCCATCTCCTTGTGCTTGGCATTTCCGCTGTCACTCGCTTTAATTACGCTCCTCACTCTGCTGGCTCACTTTCTGGCCGAGTGACTGGGCCAAATCCAGAAATCCAAATCCCTCTATCAATAGATGAAATATGCCCGTGGATGCGCTGGGCCCCAGGCCATCATCAGTCATGGGCATATTTTGACAGTGGGCATTAGTCAGCAGATGTACTCGAAAAAAAACTAGAACTAAAACTCAGGAAAGTGAATTTATTTTACATTTTATTTCAAGCTAAGCTGGAAGGGTAAGATTATTCTTTAAATTAATATTTTCACATTTTTGATAGCTAAAATTTAATTGTTATTGCCAGTTCTATTTTCCCAAGTGTATCTACTAGATTTCCGCCAAAATCCGTTTGAGCCTCGCGTTGATTCTCATTTGCAATCAAAACTTGTCCTCGGGGTGACAATCAATGCGATACTGGCTCTTGGCCAGCAGTGTCCCTTCGGGACATAATACTGAACTTCCATTTGGCACTGGCTGTCAATATGGAAAAGGCCAGGGCCGGTTGCCTTTCAGCAACGATGCAAAGTGGCAATCAATATCTTTCTCTTTCCTTTTTTATTTTTGTTGTTGTTGCCCATCCAATTAATGGGTGATAATAGTTTCTATGTGCATATTTGGGCTTTTTGTCACTTTTCGTAATAAGCCAAAAAGTTTTGTGGTCAAGCGATTTCTCTTTTTTCGGCAACCCAAATTGGATGTGTCAGTTGCAGGCAATTTGTTAGCCTAATTGGTTTGCGAAAGGAAGGACAAGGCTGGCTTGCAAATTTTATTGGTAATTACTAACATTCTGGTTAGAGATATTTCTATGAATAGAATAACGGAAAGGGAATATTTTATATACTATATATTATAATTAATTTGTTTTAACTAATAGGGAGAGGTTTCAGCAGACCAGGTTTAAGTTTTGTCATTTAATTAAAGACTCCCCAAGTTGTACCGTAAAAATTTAAATTTATTAAAAGTAAATGTATACTTCATTTAATTCTAAATACCTTAAATATTTCATTTCCCGTTAGTAATATATATATTTCTTTTCTAAAATTCTCCTTTTCAGCATCACATCAACAATCGTGTTGAGTTACCTCGCATCCAGCATTCCTCGCCACGCACAAACACCAAAAATTGGAAACATCCTCACGCACAATGAAAAACGACGTCGTGCGATGGAGCAGGCAGCCAACTAGCAACAGCAACATCAACATCAGCAGCAGCAGTAGCAGCAGCAGCAGCAGCATCAGCAGAAGCAGCATCAGCAAAAGCAGAAGCAACATTAGCAGCAGCAGCAGCCACAAACACAAAAGCAGACGCGACAAATTAAATGCTCGACAATTAGGGCAACATGCTGCCAGAAGTTGTCAGCAGAGGGCCACCCAGCAAGAAGAAGAACAACAAACAATCATTGAATGTGATATAGGAAATTTCAATTTCAATTGCAATTTATTCAAAACTAGTTTTTTAACGCAATGCAAACCGAAACTAAGCACCAGAAGGAGCAGCAGTAGCAGCAGCAGCACCACCACCACCACCAGACACTTGGCGAGAACGAAAGCAGCTCTGCTGTTTATTTTGCAATTTAGTGCCGTAGTTTTTTTATGTAATTATAATGTCGGTTTCGTGGCCGGAAGTGTGGCATCAGCATCAGCCTCGGCACCGACCCCCGCCTCATCAGCCCCGGCGCCGCCACCACCACCAGCCCCGTCATCCCTCAAGGTGGATCCATCTGGCCAGTCGCCAGTTTTGCCTCCATACGTTCTCGACTATGAGACGGGTGGCAGGGCCAAGCTGACGCCCAATAGCGGCAAATATGGAAGCTCTGGGATTTCCGGGGGCAACAACCAGATCGCCGGACACTACACACACACCTGGGCGGTGCATATACCCAATGGCGATAACGGCATGGCGGATGCTGTAGCCAAGGATCACGGTTTCGTCAATTTGGGCAAGGTAAGTGAAGGAAATTTATGTTTTAAATTTAATTTAAAGTACAAAGAATAGTTAAAAAAGCTTTCAAGAATATATGTTCTCGATTAGATAAACCCACATCATTTTTTCGAATTTACTATCGAAATGAAACCATTTCATTGCCAGTCTAATTTGCCAAAGACAAAACTTTTGGCCAACACCTAGGGCTCGACTCGACTCGTTAGCCAGTTTAGCATATGATTAGAAGAACTCTCCAATGTGAGACTATTAAAAGTTTGCAACACCCGTAGGAGACCAAAAGACAAGTTTTTACGTTATGAAAGGAACATTTTGTCGTTTGGGGGAGCCAGTTGGCTGCCATATCGTTTGGTTGATATGCCAGAGCACTGGACAAAGTTTTAGGTGAAATCGGTTCTCTGGCTTTTGCATCCTTTGCCAGCTTGCTTGCCTGTCAGTCACTGAAAACATCAGAGCGAGAGAGAGGGAAGTCGGGGGGGAAAAAGTCGGTTTGAAATGCGGGCGCAGGTGTTGCAGCCGGACAAGTTTAATCTGAAAGCATTTCGACCCAGTACTCTCAACTGCTACCTTGATACACACACCTTTGGCTTCTCCTATTTCTGCACCCAACAACCTCCTGGAGCAGCAGACGCGAACCCGCTAAGTGACTGTCAAGTTATCCTGGCAATGTGAATCGCCGGGAGTGTGGGAATGGCCAGCACAAATGGAGCTCAAATCGCCTTGTAATGGCATCGTTTGCGATAAAACAAGGCGGGCAGCTGTAGAGGCAGAGGGGCAGAGGTTGCCTAAGTATGGATTTACAGATGCTGGGGAATCACACTGGCAGAAATATAAGAGAGCTTTTAAAATAAACTAAAAGGAAAGCTACTCAATAGGCAAAGCATTTTGAATATATATGCTTTTATTCACCAACTCTAAAAGTAATAAATATCTCTTCAGTGTAAGAGCAACAAATATCTCGCACCACCGGCCGTCGGAAACATTTCGTTGGTACATTTAAAAGTAAAATGCATTCCGCACAGTTATTTTTGCGGCTGCCAAGGGTTAAGTCCCCAGCACCTCCCACCGGTCGCTGTCTGAGCTCCAAATGGAGCTCTCGGCATTTGGGTTTTTCAATTGAGGAACGCGAGCAGGCAGGTGCCGGATGCCGGATGCCATGAAAAGCTCAACTGTGTCGATTTCCATTATACGGATCCCTTTTTGCGAGAGCGAGGAAAAAAGGAGACTTAAGTAGCCTTCGTGTCCGTGGAAATTAGTATCACTCACAATGCCGCCGCTCCGTTGACTTAATTGGCAGAAACAAAAAGCGGAAAATTCAATTTATGGAGGCGCGCACACACAAAACTTTTGTTAGCACTCTGAACTAGTTGAAGTCCGGAATTTCTACGCCGGAAAACGTAAAGGGAGGCGAGAGACGACGGCGGGTAATGGAGACCGGGGAATGGCAGATGGCCGGACCCGGGCCGCGAAAGTTAATTGAAAATTAATTTTAAATGGCATTGTTAAAATGAATCCAACTTAAGGCCAACCTGAATGCGAACAGACACCGGCTTCTCTACTTTCTGCAAATGAAATGTGCCATTTTGCATAATTAGATGACGCCCAAAATGGCTGTAAAACTGTAATGAGTTGGGCGCCAGGCGGAAGTGGAAATGAATCCTAGACTTTCTGCCTTACTTACGTTTATTAATTGCCAACTTGATTGCTGGCTGAATGAGAAATGAAGGAGGAGTCGTTAGTAAAGCACACTGAAAAGACTAGCTAATGTTAAATGATCATTTTTGTATGAATGGGAGAATAATAATTAAATATGTTGCTTTCAATAGACCCTTTGTTCATTGTTTAATTTAATAAAATCGAATAGGTCAAAGTCAGCCTGTAATTCTTGCCTTACAAAGCTCTCAATCTTCTTCAATTTTCACCTTCAGGAAATACTTCCCCTAAATCATTCGATATTGCCTTAAAAATTAATTTATTTCAAACAAAAGTTTATGAGAAACATGATGTATTTTCACCCCTAAATCACCCTCCGAATTGCTTCATATATCAAGGATATTACCCAAGTGTATTACTCAAAAAGTGAGTTCGTCTGAGCAGCTTTCTCACTTTTCCAATTGAAATTAAACGCTTTGGCTAAAACCCTTTCAACCTGAACCTGTTCCGCTTTGCTTCAGTCGACACCCCAACTTTGCGCCTTCCAGCAGCAAAACATTTGAAACATAACTCGTCGAAAGTGTTGCCAAACATTTCTCACTTGTTCTCGTGTTCGTTTCTGTTTCTGCTTCAGATGTTGTAATTTTTTTCTGTGGGGGCGACTGACTCCACCCCTAACTCTGACAAGTGTTAAAAACTAAAAACTAAACTCACAACTCTGCCAAACAAGTTACGAGTAGCAGCAAAAACAATTAATAAAAGCATAAAGATGAAGTAGTAGTAGGGTTGCGGGACTTTTTGCCATTTTGCGAATTGCAACTACAACTTCCCTGCACCGGAGTCCCTATATTTATTTGTTTGTTTTGCCTGGAGGGGCGGAGTAGTGACAAGTTCTGGAACATCAACGAATTCTCATTGGTGCGTCAGAAGTTTTAATGAAAACGATGCTCTATGTTCTCTCTGATTCTCCAGCCAGTTTCTGGGATTCCTTGGGCCCATCAAGTTTTCTCGGTGCGGAAAACTTTCCTGGCACCGAAATTATTATGATAAAATAGAGAAACAAAGTTTGCTGGACAACGCCAGATAAATATATACTGCAATGCTGGAAAACTGAGAAAATGAATAGGAAACCTTATTAGCTGCTCTGCTAATTTCATTTTCCTGTCTGCTAATGAGGGAAGTTGTATTAAAAGGGCGTGGAAGTGGTGAAAAATGCCAGGAAATTATATTGTTTTCAATTTTTTCTAGTTTGAACTTAGCTTTTACCAAAAAACAAACCTGGTTATCATCTTCTCTTGACTTTTATTTCTCCGAAAACTCTGGGAAATAGTATATCAGATACTCAAAAGTTTGCAGTTGGTAAAATTCAAAAGAAACCCTATTAACTGCAGTTTTAATTTCGTTTAATAATCCAACCGCTGCAATTTCTTAGAATATTTATAAAGAAGGCACCTTGATAAGGGCGTCCTTTCAGCAGGTCCTTTGCTTTGCTGCTGCTGTTTGTCATTTGCTTATCGGGACTTTAGTCTTTCGGTCCCGCCTTCATTTCATTTTCCCCATTTCTGGGCCCATTGTTCCCGTCTTTTGTACAGCAGCGTCATTTACATAACACTCACTCTTTGTCCGCCAGTGCTGCAGCTTCTTGGCTTCCCATCATCGTCCTTCGTCCTTCTCAAGCTTCTATTGTCTTCGCCAGCTTCTCTGGACGGTTGCTGATAAATGTTATCCCTCGGCCTCGGCCTCTCATCAATTTAATTGGAACGGAGGCGAAAGCTTTTACCTACCTACCGACGGCGACTCCTCTTCTCACTTAACTTATTTGCCTTTTCGAGATGATTTTTGCTGTTTTAATTAATTTGCCACATTCTTGGACCAATTGGATTATTGATCGAGCGTCAGGCAGGCTGGCAGATTGATTGATTTTGTGTGCCTTTCGGCCTGCGGTTGCAACGCCCGGCTCATTGCATTCACGTAATTAAAATCACTGGCTGTCCTTTGGGTATATTCGCTTTTCCACCTGGCAGCCCTTTTGCACTTAATTCCCAACACTGCGTGTCTCTCATCTTTGACAAAGGTCAACGGCTCATTAATGAGGTCCTGTCGGAAATCGGAGAGCGGGTCCAAAGACCCCGGCACGCGTATCCCATAAACCTCAAGTTTGTGTCTCTGGCCCCCTTTTTTTTTCGTTGATTCTTTTATTTTGGTCTCTGGGGAAACGTACGCAAAAAAGGTAAACTTTTCAATAGGGCTTAATTGGTTAACAATTTGACAAGTTGTCGGGCACTAAGGTGACACATTCGCTAAAAGGGTTTCAGGGTTTGGACTCCTGGATTAATCAGGGCGGCACCCAGAATTTGTCGACATTTTTATTAATTAGTTCTCGGAAATGTCTTGAAGTAAAAGATGCTTTCTAAAAAAAAATAGAAAGCATTTATATAAATTAAAATTTATGGTTCTCTTCTTTGTTTTTTGGTTCCTGGAAATTGGGTCAAGAGTAGGTTTTTTTCTAGGAAGAAAAACTTAGATTAAACTTTTTATATATTTCTCAATTAAGAACAAAATTTTGAATGAAGAAATGAAATGTAAGATTAATTAATAATATTTTCTATAAATTATAAATCTTTATTTACAGGAAGTTACTTACCATCTCTCTTTTAAGAACTCTTAGTAATTCTAATTCTGCAAACTCCTTCCTGAAATATAAATTAAAGCTCTACTCATAGATTAAATCCAGCTATGCACATTTGTCATAGTTTGCCAAATTGCATTTATAAATTTAACCTAGCAAGTTAAGTAGTTTTGAGCAGCACTGGCTCAACTTTTAACCCCAGTTGACAAATTTTCCAAATATTTTTTTGCACTTTGCATGCGGAGAACTTTTCCAGCCAAAGTTAAATACTACAGGTGTGTGTGTAAGGATATTTTTGTATTTGCGTATATATATGTAAGCAGGCATTGTTGTGTGCATGCGCGTGTGTGTATGTGTGTGTTTGCGTGTCCTTTGTTCAGATTTCGCGTGGCTGTAAGGCGGATATCGTTGATAAATTTTAAGTCAGAAACTCGGAAAATATTTATGACTTAACTTTTGTTTAGTAACAAGGCAACACGCAGGCCAACTCTGCTCATATGTAGATATCTCTGTTTCATCCCCCCCGCCCCTGACAGGATATCACAATTGTCACAGAACTTGGATCCCTATGCAAATAGCAAAAACGCTGGCATGGGAACTGGGAACTTGTACAACTTTAATCACATAACATGGGGAATGCCAAAAGTTTACATAATTTTCAGCTTTTTTGCCATTGATCCTGGAGACTTGGCCCAACTTTTGCGCTGCAGTGTGAGAGGGT